ATATGCACATGCACATGCACATGCACATGCACATGCATATGCATATGCATATGCATATGCGTATGCATATACATATACATATACATATACCTATACATATACATATACATATACATATACATATACATATACATATACATATACATATACATACATATAGATAGATATGTACACACAAATACATACATGTTTCTCGAGGTGGCGCTGCGCCGTCGAGAGCCGAGTTCCTTGCAGGAGCTGCTGCTGATCACCTTCGCCTTCGTGCAGGTGCAACGGCAGCCGAATCGAATAATGATCAGTTATAGCCAGAAGAATGTTGAGTAAAGGAGCCTGGTGTTCCTCGGCCTCAGGATTGAACGCTGTAAATCAAGCTAGTGTCTAGAATGCCACACTCCCCTGCTGTAGCATCATTTCTGAGTATACTGAAACACAGTCCTTTGAAGGTCTCGCCGCTGAGCCTTTTAGTCCACGAGTTTTTTGGGCAGCTCGTCCGTTACCTGCTGGCCAAGTCCCCAGACTGTGGGGGGCCGCAGGTTGACGTTCGTACGTGCAGTGGTTTCGGGTTTGCACAGGCCTGAGGCTTTGAGTCCCCGCGCCACTTCTCGCTTCACATGTGGTGATTGGTGGGTGTTCCGGGATTGGGATTTGGTCTCCTGGTGTCATCACGTGCATGCCGTTGATGTTTGGCACATTGCTTCCTGAAACTGGCACCCTGTGTTTACATTGGGACATTTAGGGGGGAACTGTCAGTTTTAAGGTTTCAGCTTCTCCCTCTGACTGGGCGAGACTGTGATTAGGTCTTAGAGCCTTAGAGCTACTGGAGCCGAGGAGGCAGCAAGTCAGGTTCGGCTGATGGTAGGAGTGACTTCGACAACGATGCTGCAAATTCGCATGGCATCCGGGGAGGAGATTCAGATTACGAAGGAGGCTTTTGAATTAGTGGTGCAAACGAACGACCTTCCTGTCAGGGCTTTAAAGCAGAGGCTGCAGACTCTGCTCGGCATACCGAGATTTCGGCAGAGACTTCTGATAGAAGGGCGCGAGTTGTGCGATTCTGATGAACTGGTTTTTCCTATGGAGGTCGAAATTGTCCTGCTGCACTTCTGTCCTGTCGATGACAGGCAGTGCCGTGAGCTTTTTGCCGCGGTTGCCCTTGATTCAGCTGAGCGACTCGAGACAGTTCTTGCTGGCCCACTTGACCCAAACTTCACGAGTCAGACGGTACACCAAAACCGGACGGCCTTACATTACGCAGCGGTTTGTGGCAGTGCTCGCTGCACTCGCTTGCTACTCGAAGCAGGAGCAGACAAAGACAGGGTTTCGGAAGATGGTTACACCGCACTTGGCCTTGCAACGGCACAGGGGCACTTGGAAATACTGGAGATTCTGATGCATGCTGGGGCCGACTTGCAGAAGGCACCGCGAGGACGCTTCACTCCTTTGTCTGTGGCCTGCTGCCACGGAGATGTAGCAGTGGTTCGCTTTTTGCTTGACGCAAGTGCTGAGACGAACCCAGACGTTTGCAGAGCAACACCTTTAGGAATAGCATGCGCCGAGAACCACTTGGAAGTCGCTCGCTTGTTGCTCGAGGCGCGCGCCGACAAGAATACGACGATGAGTGGCAGCGTGACAGCTATGCATCTTGCTTGCCAGCGCGGCCATGCGAAACTCGTGCAGCTATTGCTGGAGGCGGATCTTGATACGAACGCAGACTGGGATGCTAGCTTTACAGCCCTCTTGCTTGTCTCTGCGGAGCACCACGATGTCTTGCGCTTACTTTTGCGTGCCCAATCCGGTGAGATTGCGTTTGGCCAGCGCAGCATTGCAGCCTTCATGGCTGTGGAGCAGTGCCAGCTTGGAGCTGCTGGCATAATCCTTGCGGATGCTGTTAAGCGCAGGGCGAACGACGTCTGCCAAAATGGATTGCTGGCCGAGTGTCTGTCCGGTCTACGGAAGTGGTGCGCTTGCTAAATCTGTGCAGAAAGAGGACCTTCAGTTTTGGGGTTGTTTCGTACTCAGCGGTCTGTTTCGGTTGGGTACCGTATCTTTAATATGTCTGTTTTTTGTTCGTTTTTTCCTGGTTTTTTGGTTTTTAGGAACGAAAGAGGGAAAGACACGTCATAAAGAAAGAAAGAAAAAGAAGGGACCGCAGAAGGAAAGAAAGGGAAGGAATAAAGACAGGAAGAACGAAAGAAATATCTAAAGAAATAACGAAAGTAAGGAATAAAGGAAGAACTAAAGAAGCAGCACAAAAGGAATAAACAGGACAAAAGAACGAAAGAACGAAAGAGGCAGAAACAAAGCAATGCACACGTCAACTTGCGTGCATCGGTTGCTATAGGACTGCATCTTGAAGAAAGACGGAAAGGAAGCACCTTAAACATACCCCCTCATTTGGCGATTCCGGTTCATCATATATCTTAAACATGCCCCCTCATTTGGCGATTCCGGTTCAGCATATACAGATATATACATATGTGGAGGGGTCCTTTACGTATAATGTGATCAGTCGGCTTCTGTTCCTACCACTCTATACCCTAAACCCTAAACTTTAAGC